CAATTATTCAAAAGATTGTGAAATTGGGGATGATGATCTAGACTAGATTGAGCTGGTTGAATTTAATTCAAGTGGCAAAAGGCTATTAACTGCAAAATCAAGGGTTGGAATGCAAGGTAAGGGGAAGAAAACCAAAGGCATGATGGAATTATACTTGATGAAACCAAAAAATATAGTTCAAAGAAGGAAATAAAGGCAAAATAAGGCAAATGAGTATAAAGGATAGTGATCTGGAAGTAAGAGTTAGGACAGTTCAGTGCATGGTAAGAGTTTTTTATTGAGCTAGGATCCCATTCAATGCAACACGCTTGGATAGCTTCAAATATATGGTGGAAGCTTTGGGAGGTATGGTCCAAACTTAAAGCCTACTAGCTGTCATGAGTTGTTGGTTTTATTGCTGAAAAAAGGAAAATTCTAGTTTAGAAATGATATGATAGAGGATCATAAGAAGAAATGGGCAAAGTATGGTTGCTCAATTATGTCTAAAGCTTGGATAGATAGAAGACAAAAAATTATAATTAACTTCTTGGTGAATTGTCTAACAGGGACAATGTTTGTGGAATATGTTGATGCCTCTTCTTACATGAAAATGTTTGTGGAATCTATTGATGCATCTTCTTACATGAAAATAAGGGATAAATTGTATGAGTTACTTGATGCCTTCATAGAGAAGATTGAAGAAGAAAATGTCATTCATGTGATCATTGACAATGGTAGCAATTAAGTCTTGGTAGGTAAATTGTTACAGGCTAAAAGAAAGCATTTGTTTTGGACTCCATGTGCAGGACACTGTGCAAATCTCATCTTAGAAGATTGGGAAGCTACCAAATGTAAAAATAACATTAAAAAAAAAAAAGCTATTTTTTTGGTTGGATTTATATACAACTAGACCTTGTGCCTTAAGTTGGACGAGAACTTTCACAACAAAGAAAGAATTGGTTAGGTATGGGGTCACAAGGTTTGCTACAACCTATCTCACTTTGGAAAAGGTTCACAAGCAAAAGATTAACCTTAGAAAGATGTTCACATCAAATGAGTGGATGAAAGGCAAGAGGGCTACTAATGTTGTCTTGATTCCTTCCTTTTAGAATGAGGTTGTGTACGGTCTTAAAGTTATGAGTCCTTTAATATATGTTCTTTGCCTAGTTGACAATGAAAAAATGCCAGTAATGGAGTATTTCTATAAAGCAACAAATAAGGCCATGGAAGCCAATCAAAAAGCCTTTGATGGGAATGAAGATATCTATTACAGACAATAGATAGGAAAATGATCTTCATCATCCTTTGCATGTTGCTGGTCACTTTTTGAACCCTCAATTCTTTTTTTCTGATCCAAATATTACAATAAATAAAGAAGTTGCAAGGGGGTTATATGACTATATTGAAAAATCGATTCCAAATCTTGATGATCAAGACAAAACTGTAGATCAATTACAATTGTACAAGGAAGCTTAGGAGATGTTTGCTAATCTCATGGCAATACAATCTAAGAGCAAAAAAGCACTTGAGAAGCAAAATTGCATAAACTTGGGCACTGATTTTTTCTAATTTTGATTAATCAATTCTTGTTCTTTGAAAGAAATTTATCTAGGCTTTGTGAATTAATCTTTTTCATCATGATGATTTGCTTCCCTTGCCTTGCCTTGAAGCTTAATGGTGGAGTTTTGAAGCTTAATGGTGGAGTTCGTATGGAGTGGAAACTCTAGAATTGATGAATTTGACTATTTGAATTCTGAGTTTAACTTGCAGTATTGCTGGTTGTGAGAGAAACTAGAGTGTTTTTGAGTAAGTATATAATAACTCATATTTGATTCTTTATTTCTATGGAAGTCATTTAAGGTTAATACTTGATGCTCTTAATATGAGAAATATTTTAATTTAACTTGCTAGCTATTGTTTTTACCAGGCAATTTAATTTCATAACCTATTTTAATTGGACAAATTTATAGTAAGAAGAGAAATAAACTTGAGAGCATAAGAAAATGCAAGATCTAGTATTTGTTAAGTATAATTAAGCTCTTAAAGCTCAATATTATAATAGGAAGAATCAAATTGATCCAATCTCCCTAGACTATATTGATGATAATAATGAATAGTTGATTGGAAAAATGGGTGGTGACCAAGATGATGCTGAAAATGAACTTGCTTTTGGTGATGATGACTTGACTTGGGGAGAGGTAGCTAGAGCTTCTAGTGTTGAAGAGCCTAGAAAATATACTAGGAGAAATTATGGTAGACAATCTGCACTAAAATCTTTAAATTCTAAGGGAAAAGCAATTGTAAAAAAAGTTGGAGAAGAAGAGGCTAATACAAAGTAATCAAAGGAAGAGATTGAGGATTATCACTCAAGTGATAGAGGTGACAGTAGTGATGATGATGAGATGTATGTAGCTAATGAGGATGATATAGATGCAAATGATTTATTTTAGATTTTAGAATGATATTATGTTTTACTTCTTATTTTTTACCTTTCTTTAATTTGTTAATTATTATGCATGCATGCATGCAGTAGTCATTTTCTATTATGATAGTTGCTATTATGAACTTTGAAATTTGTTTTATTAATATATCATAGTTTGAGTACATTTTGAAGAGGTTTAAACTATTATATAATCATCTTTTTGTATTGCTCGCTTCACTTTTCACTTCATCACTTAAGTCTTTTGGAAGGTGGCTTTACGCTTTTTGACAACACTAGCAAAGAATTAAGATGATGAAAATAATGAAAAAACTAAATAAAATAAAAATAAATTCTCTTATTATAACCATGACAAGCTAATCCCAAAATTTATATATAAATACCATACAATTCAAATCAAAGATCTCAAGTTTTAATTCTAGTTTCTTAGCTATGTAACCCACTTCCTTAATTTGCCATAACATAATCACTTTCTTGTCCCATTCATGACTTCCCACAATGTCCATTCTTAAGAAGTACTCATGCCCATGAACGTCTCAATGCTTTGAAGAATATTTCAACATTTTAATAATCTCATAACTAAAATTTATATCTATTAAAACATTAATTGGAATTAATTAAATTTCAAAAATCTATTGGAAAAATAGATATCGATGCTAAATCAAAAAAAAAAGTTTTAATATTAAATTGCATCGTTTTATTTAATTAAAATTCAATTTAAAACTTAAAAATTTATCTTATTAAATATTAATATTTAAATTTAAAAACTTATAAGATTTCTAAATTTTAAATTAAAATTTCAATTTCTAAATATTAATTGAGATTTTAATTTTTTTTTTAAATCGAGACTGATACACACTATCATTGTCTATTTATTTACAACCATTTACAATCTACACTTATTTTAATTCGAACAGTCCAAACTTTCTCAAGGGTCAATTCTAAATATTAACCCATCTAACAACCCACTCAAGTAATTCTATTTGCCTACTTCAAAACCACACCTCACAATTGGAATTTAAAGGCTGAAATTAAAATCACGGGCTGTTTCATACAAGATTTCTAGGTTGCACTTAACTTAAACTAGATTTTGGTCTAAATTATCCCAAGGACAACCCTTTGTTTCATCTTTGAAAAGATAAATAACCAACCAACTCCTATACCCCTTCACACAACTAGGTGTATATTTATGTATATTCACGATTTATTAGCTGCACCCAAATATAACTAACACAGCCTTTTACAGAAAATTTAAGCGAGGATATGAGGATGTACCACTTGAACTTACCAGAAAATTGAAGAAAGAACAACCCATGCAATAGAGGTTCATGGATTGAAGAGGAAGAACAACAGCAAGCTATGAAATTTCCCCAAAAAGTCTCACATTGTTAGTAGGATTTATAGGTCCAAAATTCATTCTTAAGAGAGAAAAGAAAAGGGAAAATCAAGTATTACCTGGATTTGAAGAAGAAGATGCATTGTAGAAAGGCAAAGAGGTCGGCGGCTTGGCAAGGGTTTTAGGATTAGAAGAGAAGAAAGAATACCCAGAAGAGAGAATTAAGATCCATTGAAGTCTTTATACTATTCATCGCTTTTCTTTTTATTTTTTTTTTGCACTAACATCCCCAAGTTGAAGATTTAGACAACTTGATCTCTTAATAAATCACCAAGTTAATTAATTAATTAATTTAAATTTATTATTTTCACAATTAAGACATTCCATGTAAGCTTTCTTAAAAATTTAAATGCTTAGAAAAATTCAAGATATTACACATCTTCTCATTGGTTCCTTTTTTCCTAATTTTTAATTTTTAATGTAAAAAAATTTACATTGAAGCCAAATGTTACCGAAAATATGGTGAAGAATATCAATTTATGATAGATAAACACATTTCGAGGGTCTATAGCCACCCTAACTAACCAAAGGCAAAATAATCTCTTGCAATCTTGCCGATCATTACCAGCACACGTAAGATTGATTGGTTAGAAATAAATTTTATTAAGAAAGTAATTTGAAAAATATTATATGAAAATTTTAAAAAGTATTGTATAAAAAATTGGATAAGTTTTGTAGTAAAAATTTATTAAGTTATCAATTTTTTTATATTTGATAAGAAATTAACATAAAAATTAATAAAAGAAATTATTAAGTCCCACATAAAAAAAAAATTAAGAAAACCTTTTCTTTTCAAAATGTGGACGGAAAAAAATTTACAATTAAAAATTATGTTAAGAAAAATTAAAATTAAAATATTTTTTCTCTCCTTTTATTATAATATTAAGTTATAAAATTGTAAAAATATGTAAATAATCTATACAAAGACAAATTTGGGGGTATGTTTCTCCTCCACCAACTTCAACCAAACAAGCCCTTAAGACCAGCTAGGCTAAGGCCTAGCACAAATGGCACCCTCGGAGCACA